GTGCTGCACCCATTAACTCGTCATTTACATTAGGTATGTCTCCTAATGCTATTATCTCCTAATGCTCCCCGCCCCCCCCCCAATAGGACATGGTGTGTGATGTTCCCCTTCCTGTGTCCAAGTGATCTCATTGTTCAATTCCCACCTATGAGTGAGAACATGCGGTGTTTGGTTTTCTGTTCTTGTGATAGTTTGCTGAGAATCATGGTTTCCAGCTGCATCCATGTTCCTACAAAGGACATGAACTCATCCTTTTTTATGGCTGCATAGTATTTCATGGTATATATGTGCCACATTTTCTTAATCCTGTCTGTCACTGATGGATATTTGGGTTGATTCCAAGTCTTTGCTATTGTGAATAGTGCTGCAATAAACATACGTGTGCATGTGTCTTTATAGCAGCATGATTTATAATCCTTTGGGTATATACCCAGTAATGGGATGGCTGGGTCATATGGTACTTCTAGTTCTAGATCCTTGAGGAATCGCCACACTGTTTTCCACAATGGTTGAACTAGTTTACAGTCCCACCAACAGTGTAAAAGTGTTTCTATTTCGCCACATCCTCTCCAGCACCTGTCGTTTCCTGATTTTTTAATGACTGCCATTCTAACTGGTGTGAGATGGTATCTCATTGTGGTTTTGATTTGCATTTCTCTGATGGCCAGTGATGATGAGCATTTTTTCATGTGTCTGTTGGCTGTATGAATGTCTTCTTTTGAGAATTGTCTGTTCATATCCTTTGCCCACTTTTTGATGGGGTTGTTTTTTTCTTGTACATTTGACTGAGTTCTTTGTAGGTTCTGGATATTATCCCTTTGTCAGATAAGTAGGTTGCAAAAATTTTCTCCCATTCTGTAGGTTGCCTGTTCACTCTGATGGTAGTTTCTTTTGCTGTGCAGAAGCTCTTTAGTTTAATTAAATCCCATTTGTCAATTTTGGCTTTTGCTGCCATTGCTTTTGGTGTTTTAGACATGAAGTCCTTGCCCATGCCTATGTCCTGAATGGTATTACCTAGGTTTTCTTCTAGGGTTTTTATGGTTTTAGGTCTAACATTTAAGTCTCTAATCCATTTTGAATTAATTTTCGTATAAGGAGTAAGGAAAGGATCCAGTTTCAGCTTTCTACTTAGGACTATCCACTTTTCCCAGCACCATTTATTAAATAGGGAATCCTTTCCCCATTTCTTGTTTTTGTCAGGCTTGTCAAAGATCAGAATCTGTTTTTTAATGGGTCTGTGCCCCTGCACTCTACCCTTCACAAGTGTTTCTCGGCTCCCCCCACGATATCCCACACCATTAGCTGAGACAGGAAGACTAGAAGGCGCTGGAGTGAAAGAATTCCTTCCCCCAGGTGGGACAGACCTGGTAAGGTCTTCTCCCCTGAGCAACGACCCTCTTTACAGGGGACACACTACTCGTTCTTCCAGGCCCAGGACGGGAGCTTTCTGGGAGCTTCCCTTTGAACTGGTAAGATTCCTGCATGTAAAGTTCACCAGAGTGTCCCCCCGAAGCCCCAAAAATGCAGCCCCCAAGTGTCTCCCTACGACGCTAGACGACATCCGCTCTTCACCACCAAGCTGCTTTGCATTCCACTGGCCTGATTCGCTCCAGTCTGCACCCCTCTTAGGGAAACATAAACTTCTGATACTCTCTGGCGTGGGGGGAGCGGGGAGTGCGGGGGGAGCGGGGAGTGCGGGGGGAGCGGGGAGTGCGGGGGGAGCGGGGAGTGCGGGGGGAGCGGGGAGTGCGGGGGGAGCGGGGAGTGCGGGGGGAGCGGGGAGTGCGGGGGGAGCGGGGAGTGCGGGGGGAGCGGGGGGGGGAGCGGGGAGTGCGGGGGGAGCGGGGAGTGCGGGGGCTGCCTCAAGCCCTCTAAGACTGCAGATACCATGCAGCAACCTAGGTCTGCGGCTCACCTCTCCAGCTGCCCATCTCCCAGAGTCATCTTGTTTCCACACCTCACTCCGGCATCCTGTGAAGAGAGGCAAGAGCCCCACACCCACATCAACCTTTCTTGCTCCTCCAATTCCTCTTCCTCTCTTTCCCAACACAGGCTATGATGGGAAGTCTACAAAGAGGAGTTAGGACTGTGCTCACTCTTTCTTTCCTACTGTTTAGACTTTAAGCTCTATCTTGATTCCTTTAAGATGTGGCCTCCTGAATCTAAACAGTACACTTTCAAACCAAAATGCTCACTTGTGGTCAGGAGCAGTGGCTCACGCCTGTAATCCCAGGACTTTGCGGGGTCAAGGTAGGCTGATCGCTTGAGGTCAGGAGTTTGAGACCAGCCTGGCCAACATGGCAAAACCCCATCTCTGATAAAAATACAAAAATTTAGCCTGGTGTGGTGGCACACGCCTGTAGTCCCAGCTACTAGGGAAGCTGAGGCAGGAGAATCGCTTGAACCTGGGAGGCGGAGGTTGCAGCGAACTGAGATCACGCCACTGCACTCCGGCCCAGGTGACAGAGTGAGACTCCATCTCAGAAAAAAAAAAAAAGAAAGACTCACTTTAAAAATATTTCAATAGGTTTCTGGGGAATAAGTGGTGTTTGGTTACATTAGTAAGTTCTTTAATGGTGCTGTCTGAGATTTCGGTGCACCCATCACCAGAGTAGTGTACACTGTATCCAATGTGTAGTCTTTTATCCTTCACCTCCCTCCCACCCTTTCCCCCAAGTCCCCAAAGTACACTGTATCATTCTTATGCCTTTGCATATTCATAGCTTAGTTCCTGCTTATGGGTGAGAACATATGATGTTTGCTTTTCTATTCTTGAGTTACTTCACTTAGAATAATGGTCTCCAATTCCATCCAGGTTGTTGCAAATGCCATTATTTTGCTCCTTTTTATGGCTGAGCAGTATTCCATGGTGTGTGTGTGTGTATATATATATATATATATATATATATTTGCTTTATCCACTCATTGATTCATGGGCATTTGAGCTGGTTTCATATTTCTGCAATTGTGAATTGTGCTGCTATAAACATGTGTGTGCAAGTGTCTTTTTTGTACAATGACTTATTTTCCTCTGGGTAGATACCCAGTAGTGGTATTGTTGGATCAAATGGTAGATCTACTTTTAGTTCTTTAAGGAATCTCCACGCTGTTTTCCATAGTGGCTGTACTAGCTTCCATTCCCACCAGCAGTGTAGAAGTGTTCCCTGTTCACCACGTCCACGCCAGCATCTGCTGGTTTTGATGATGGCCACTCTTGCAGGAGTAAGGTGGTACTGCCCTGTGGCTTTGATTTGCATTTCCCTGATCATTCTCGATGCTGAGCATTGTTTCATACATTCACTGGCCATCTGTGGATCTTCTTTTGAGAACTGCCCATTCATGTCCTTAGCCCACTTTTTCATGGGATTGTTTGGTTTTTTTCTTGATGACTTGTGTTCCTTGTAGATTCTGAATATTAGTCCTTTGTCAGATGTATAGGTTGTGAAGATTTTCTCCCACTCTGTGGGCTGTCTGTTTACTCTGCTGATTATTTCTTTTGCTGTGCAGAAGCTTTTTAGTTTATGTCACATCTGTTTATCTTTGTCTTTGTTGCATTTGCTTTTGGGTTCTTGGTCATGAAGTCTTTGCCTAAGCCAATGTCTAGAAGGTATCTTCCAATGTTACTTTCTAGAATTTTTATGGCTTCAGGTCTTAGATTTAAGTCTTCGATCCATCTTAAGTTGATTTTTGTATAAAGTGAGAGATGAGGCTTCTACATGTGGCTTGCCAATTATCCCAGCACCATTTGTTGAATAGGGTGTCCTCTACCCACTTTTATGTTTCTGTTTGCTTTGTCGGGTATCAGTTGACTGTAAGTATTTGGCTTTATTTCTGGGTTCTCTATTCTGTTCCATTGGTCTATATGCCTGTTTTTATCCAGTACCATGCAATTTTTTCTTTTTGCTTAGTCTTGCTTTGGCTATGCGAGCTCTTTTTTGGTTCCATATGAATTTTAGGATTGTTTTTTCCAGTTCTGTGAAGAATAATGGTGGTATTTTGATGAGAATTGCACTGAATTTGTAGATTACTTTTGCAGCATGGTCATCTTCATAATATTGATTCTACCCATCCATGAGCATGGGATGTGTTTCTATTTGTTTGTGTCATCTATGATTTCTTTCAGCAGTGTTTTGTAGTTTTCCTTGTAGAGGTCTCTCACCTCCTTGGTTAAGTATATTCCTAAGTATTACTTTTTTTTTTTTGCAGCTTTTATAAAAGGGGTTGAGTTTGTGATTTGATTCTCAGCTTGGTCACTGTTTGGTGTATAGCAGGGCTACTGATTTGTGTACATTAATTTTGTATCCTGAAACTTTGCTGAATTCATTTACTAGTTCTAGGAGCTTTTTGGATGAGTCTTCAGGGTTTTCTAGTCATAAGATCATGTCATCAGCAAACAGTGACAGTTTGACTTCCTCTTTAACAATCTGGATGTGCTTTATTTCCTTCTCTTGTCTGATTGCTGTGGTTAGGACTTCCAGCCAAGGAAACCTCCACTTTATTATAGAAAACTAATATTATGATATTAATAGTAACTTTTTTAATATTCTTTGAACTACTTACATCATTTTAAGTGGGAAAATAATTAAACTACACTTTATTCAGTCTTAGCACTTACACAAAGATCTTTCCTGATATATCTATAAATTTCATTTTATAAAAAGTAGATTCAGATATTGAGTTCCTTTTTTCCTTTAATGCACTAAACTCAATTTTAAGACAAAAACAGTACATGTAGTTACAACCTAGCATGTCAAACATCCTTAAAATGATTCAAAGTGTATATTAAATGAAATTATGCAAATACAAGTAACAGATACTTTCAAATGTCCAAGAATTCATTTAATTTTGTTTCAGCTTATTAGCATCCATAAATTATCTTTAAAATTATGATTTTTTTTTATCCAGAAAGCTAACGTTTAAGAATGTAATTTGAAAGAGAAATGATTACTGATTAAAGAATGCAAGGAAACTTGCCAATCTGGTTTTCTTCTTGCATCTAGAAACATGCAGCAGTAACCTGACAGGTCTGTGAAGACGGCAGTGTGCCCGTGCCGCCGGTAACACACCCATCTGCCTCTCTCCAAAGGACCGGGAAACAAACGCCTCGTCTGAGACTGAAATGAAGCCTGAGAAGCAGTCATTTTTCTTTATATTGTTTGGAATTAAAAACATATTAAATTGATCCATTATGAAAATTCTGCTCTCTATACTGTGTATTTCAGACCATGTCTGTGTCTTAAGGCTATGAAACAATTTTTGTAATTGTAATAACAAACAAATTATTGACTTTAACTTAAGAAAACTGTTGCCTGAATGACTGAATATTCAACCAAAACAGATCCCTCCCTCAATTGTATCATACACAAGCTGTTCATTTCCACAGGTTAATGAACCTTATGTGGTACTGTTATATTTGGTTTGCTTTCTATTTCTGATTTTACATCTTTATTTTGTAGGGGTAGGAGAGTGCCCATGGTTCAGTTTTAGTAATTACATAATTCTATGTAACATGCTAGTGTGAGTTATTGACAGTACTGTACTGAAAAAAAAACGTTATATTTCACATCAGCACCAACAGTAATATCAAGAGAAATCTGGTTATACAACTTAGAAGTCATAAGTGTGAATTGTAGCCGAGCTGCTACTTTTTTTTTTTTTTTTTTTGAGACAGGGTCTTGTACCGTCACCCAGGCTGGAGTGTAGTGGCACGATCTCAGCTCACTACAACCTCAACCTCCGGTTGAAGATCAAATGACCCTCCCACCTCAGCCTCCCAGGTAGTTTGTACCACAGGTGTGCCCTACCACGCCCACCTAATTTTTTTTTTTTTTTTAGTAGAGACAGGGTTTCACCATGTTGCCCATGCTGGTCTCAAATTCCTGGCCTCAACTGATCTGCCTGCCTCGACTTCCCAAAGTGCTGAGATTACAGGCGAACCACGCCCGGCCAGCTTCTTCAATCCATTCATTAACTTTGAGGTTACTTAATTTAGAAAATTAATTTTTAAAAGCCAAAAATAGTATATCTGATACCAGAACAGCAAGTCACACCTTAAGTAAATCATTATTTATTATTTACTATGTGCAAAATATAGGGAAAGAGACAGAAGACAAATGTATCTATGACTTCCCACTTCTGATTATAATCTCTTTAAAGACTGTGTTTATTTCTAATCCCCAACCAATGACAGATGCAACAGGCAATCACCTTAAACAGGGATTATTTTGTTTACTGAATAACAGATTTAGAAAGGAAGGTAGTGCATCCTTCAGCAATTTTTTCCCTTGGCTTCACAGTAATGGGAGTTTGGTACAGCGGAAGTTGAGGAGATGGAAGTCCATGTAAAGAATGTTGTGTCAGCCCCTGTATTTATCCAGTATTTTCTGTGGAAAGATAAAAGTTCTCTCACAGTGAATTCTGTCTGTTCTATGGGCACAGGAGTCTGGTACAGCAGATGTGCAAAAAATTCTGCTCATCAAGCAAAATTTATCACTAGAGGAGAATTTGAGATATTCTGACGATAATTTCTCTTAAATCAATTGAAGCCAAATACTATTCCATACTCATCTAAAAGGCTATTTTTTGGGCTAATGATTTAAGTGGCTCTAATATGTCCTGCATTGATTCAATGATGAATTCATGTGTTCAGTTAATCAGCATTTATCAAATGCCTAACGTTTTTGTCTTATCACATTATGAGCTTTGGCTAATGTATACAAAGTGAACAAATATGAGATTTTAACCCTCAAGAAAGGAAACCATTTTTAAAAACGAGAGAATAGGCGCTTCCACGTGTTGCTGTCTTGCTTTCTCAACACAGTGCACACACATGCCTGGGCAGAGCAGTTAAAACTTCCTGAGAAGGCACAGAGCCAGGTACTGGGCTGGAGCCCATGTGCAGTGAGGAAGGAGAACAGTCAGGGAGTCTGGGGTGAGATGCTGAGGGATGTAAAGAGGGTCACCAGCTGGTAAGGCAAGGGATTGCTCAAATCAGTAAATATAGTCAGTGTAATAATAAACCGGTTTCTTACTGTCAGGGAAGGAGTTACAATGTGGGAACAAAAAATAGAAGAAACCCCTGGATTCATCATCCATCCACCCATCCACTTATATACTTGTCTACCCACCTACCCACTCACTCACCCACTCACCCACCCACCCATCCATCCGATTCACCCACCCATCCATCCGATTCACCCACTCACCCACCCACCCATCCATCCGATTCACCCACTCACCCACCCACCCATCCATCCGATTCACCCACTCACCCACCCACCCATACGTATTCACCCACCCGCCCACCCATCCATTCCGTCATCAATCCCTCCACTCACCCATGCATTAACACACACACACACGGCGTGTTCACTGCAAGGACTTGGAAACAGCATATCGCAGTACACATGAGCAAGCCCAGCTCCCAGAACCTGACTTCTAAACAGCACTTTTTGCTAAAAGGAACCCAGAGCCAAGCCCAGGGCTGGAGCAAAGAAAGTACAAGATGAGTCTGGAACATCTGTCTGTGGAAGTAGGAATAAAAAATACTAAAAAATGATGGGTTCATGATAATATGACAGAGAAGCCAGCTTAAAGGGCTTGCAAACGCCAGAAAGGGGACAATGTAAAGGTCAATCAAGGATAGTAACAGGTTATAACCCACTGGTATACAGGGCCCGACGCAGAGCGGGCGTCCGGTCAGTGCCTGGTATACAGGGCCCAATGCAGAGCGGGCGTCCGGTCAGTGCCTGGTATACAGGGCCCGACACAGAGCGGGCGTCCGGTCAGTGCCTGGTATACAGGGCCCGACGCAGAGCGGGCGTCCGGTCAGTGCCTGGTATACAGGGCCCGACGCAGAGCGGGCGTCCGGTCAGTGCCTGGTATACAGGGCCCGACGCAGAGCGGGCGTCCGGTCAGTGCCTGGTATACAGGGCCCAACACACAGCGGGTGTTCAATGTGCACTCCTTTCATAGCCTTCTACAGTCTCTACACTACCAGAGCATTTATCCTGTAGAGCACTGCAAAGTTTCCATTTTTATTAAAGATAGGTCCACCTCCCCCACACAAACTGTGCATTATTTTCATGCAAGTCCTCTTTAAATCCTCTTCTGGCTTCTTGTGTAGGCTGTCCCCCATCTACTGTGGGTGAGCAGCATGGGACAGAAGAAGGGGTAAGGCCCAGCTCCTGCCTCCAGGGCAGGTGAAGTCTCGTGGAAGAGGAGGCACGTAAGCAAACCGTTATCATGGCTTGACTCGTGTTCACCATTGTTCACTAAGCATGGACCCTGTGCAGGGCACCAGAATACCGAGGTAAACAGAGTCCTCAAAGTCAAGAAGCCAACATTTCAGTGGAAGAGGCGACATCTACCTGCACATTTTGTTACATCTCTCCTGAGAGCTGAGACAGAAAGGCAGGATGCATCATGGTGGCCACGGATGGGGGACAAGTCTTTGTGGCCAAGCCCCAAGAGTGCAGAAGACAGCAGTCTGAGAAAAACGCATGAAGAGTAAAGCAACCGTGGAACACAATGAAGATGCTGGGGCTCGCCACAGAGCAATGGAAATCTTTTGAACAGTTTTAGCCAAAGAATGAACCATATCAAACCTACATTTCATAAACATGACTCAGGCTGTGACGTGCAAAACACGATGGAGGGAGAAGGGGGAGAGGGCGGCAGAGCGGCCGCCGTCGCTATCTGGGTGAGAAATGACAGGAGCTTGAACTCTGCACTATGGACTCTGAATGAGGCTGACAGAAAGGAGGGAAGCTGAAGGGCTTGAGAAGCCCTTGCAGAATTCATGCTGCCATAGGAGGAGGCAGTGAGGACAATGGAGAGGCGGAGGACAGAAAGATGCCCTAGGAATAAAGAGTCACTCAGACACTGAAGACAGTGGCCGCCCTACGACTGTGGGACCGAACGGTCACTCAGACACTGAAGGCAGAGAATTTAGCTGTACTGCTTAGAAATGATGAGATACTGTCAAATATAGTTCTTATTTAATATGCAACAAATAATCAGAACTTTATGTAAAGCTAAGTCTTTCCTGTGATACAAATCAATTACTTCAAATAATAAAAATGCTTGTGTTTTTTATTTGGAGCACCTGTTTTCTAATTAAATTCATATTTAAAGGGAATTTAGGGATAATATCTAAGTTTTCTAGTTTAGATATCTGCTATACATTCTGATAGAGCTTATGCCCCAGATGCTATCAGTAGGACTGTTTTTTCAACACTTGGCATTTTGTTTCTTTACTGCTTTCCTGAAATTATAAGTTTATGTTCACACTACAGATGAAGAACTACAACTTCTAATTGTGAGCAGCTGTCATATCTAAGTGTGCCGGCTACGCAAGTGAAGGCTGTGCTAATGTACCCCGAAGAGCCACCCTGGGTCTAGTCTAGAAGCTATGGAATTAGGTCATGGTGGGTTTGTTTTCTAGTTAATCTTTTCCTGATGAGGAACTGAAACACTATGATTCGTGAATATTAACAACAGTTATCAAAAAAAAAAAAAAAAAGCATTCCAAGAGTCTTTTTATCTCTGTTGATTTACCGCAATACTACTAATGTATTCTACAACATGTAGCTCTTTGGTGAAGCACATGGTCACATTTTAAAATAAGTATTTAAACTCTAAAATATTTTATTACAAGAAGGCAACTGTTAGAAAAATTAAGGGATTCTATGATTGTATGCAACAAGATAAAATTAAGTTATTTTATTGTAATCCTTTAATATAAATCAATATAACTTTTAAAATATTAATAAATTATCCTTTTTAAAACAAGAAAGCTAGTCTCCAAAACTGCTTTGATATTTCAAGTTGCAAAGTACACCACAGCTGGCTCTATTTTGTTCTATGATCTCAAAATGTCTCGACAAGTATTCAGATAACAAGCACCAGCTCTAATTCACATAATGGCTCATGTCACCTATCTCTCTGCCAGTGAGACATCTGAAAGCATCTTTTTATCAGAAACACAAGTCAATATACCCAAGGGATTACAATAACTGCTTGAAGCAATTTGTATTATCATTTCATCCTTGATGTTCTTGCTCTGAGTAACTGATTATTATGAATGGCATGAAAATGGCAACCTGTCACAATTGATTTTTCCTTAACCTCCACAAGAATTTTTCTCCCTTAAATGTAATCAAGTCTCATATCATTAAATATGTCTGAGGCTAGC